GACAATTAAGTCATAATATTATGAGAATAAAGTCATAATATTACGAGAATAAAATCATAATAGTATGAGAATAAGGTCATAATATTACGAGAATAATCTCGTAATACGTTCTGGGTCGGCTCGCACCTGCTGCGTACAGTCTCCAATGTGAGTCACTGTGCTTATGACTCGCTCTATCACAGTTTTGCAAAATAAAATTGAACATGACACACAATTGGCTGATTGATGGATGAGCCACACGATTGGCATGATTTTTAATTTAAAATGTATTATTTTAAATTATTTAGCACCTGCTGCATCTGTGTGCAGTAGAGCTGTCATTTCTAACACGAACCCAGAGCCCAGCCCCGCCCGACCTGGATTAGGGCCGAGCCATAATAATGTGCCTAATGTGTGGGCTGAGTCGGTGTCAGGCTTTTGATTGCGTTAGCGGGCGTGCTGCTGATGATCCAATTATATGGCAGCATGGCTTGCCATACAATCACCAGCCTCACGTGGCCACTTGACCACGCGCTGAGCGGCTTTGAAAGAGGTAAAAAATTCAGTTAAGCTTCACATGGACTACTGCCAGCGATCCATTGCCCAAATGGACGTTCATTCAGCCGCAGCGTTCAGTGGACGCGCACAGCCGACGACCCAAACAAGTGAGATCACAAAATATTCAACATGTCACAGCAGGGTCCATGTCTGAATAATGCAGAATGCAGGCAGAAGCAGCTCCTTTCTTCTGCCCCCTTTACTCAGCCGTGCACGTCTGCCGACCGTTAATAGCTATATAAGCAGTCAAAGCTTAATTAAAAATGTCGGTTGGGGTGGGGGTGTTGGGTTCAGACCTGTAATTACTGTTAATTCGTAGGGTTGGGAGGGGTTCGGAAATGATGGGTTCGGGCTGGGGCCGGGTCTGACTTTTTGGGCCCGAATGCAACTCTAGTGTGCAGCTCACACTGCAGGAGAGACTTCCTCCTGCAGCTCCTCCTCCCTCCTCTGCTGCAGAACGGAGATCGACAGAGAAGTGGGCGTGGCCGAGAGCACAGAGTGCAGCTGTGGGTCACTGTTTGTGAAATATGCCTCCATCCACATTATGTGAGGACCAAATCCG